TGAAGAAGATGAAAGGAAAGTAGTATTGACAAGATATGGAGGCCTTGTCGTCGCTCGCCGGAGATTAACCTTCGCCGGAGTCAGGGGGAGGTGTGTCGCCGCACTTCGCTGGAGTCGGGGGAGCTGCAGAGGGTTTGGGAGTTTTGGGGATTTGGGGGAAATGTTGTGTTCTGCCCGAACCCGACTTATGTTTAAGGGGTAAGTCGCCCAACGGTTGGGCGACTTATAAGTCGCCAAACCATTTGGCGACTTATAAGTCGCCCAACCATTGAGCGACTTACCCTGACCACGATTAAACCCAGCAGTAGATCCGTAAATACTTTAAACCCAACATTATTTTCGTAATTAATTAATTAATTAGCATTAATTCGAAAAAAACACACTATTTCCTTTCATAGCTCTACTAAACGGTCATAATTAATGGAGTGCAATTGATATTATTCTTTATTTCCAACCATCCAATTTTGTTAATCAATGACTCCATTTCATTCATATTTCTCTCTTGTGATTCCTTTCTCAGAATCAATCCTTCTAATATATAATCACTAGATAAATTTTTTTTTACTAGATAAATTTCTTCCTGGAAAATTCGAGAGGTTTTATCAAACGTAGCAACAATATAATCAACATCCACTTAACCTCAAGGAATCCGAAAATACAAACGGGTTTGAAGAATGTTAATGATTCAGCATACATATATTCCAAACCGTGAATGGGCAGTTTATTATATAAAATTTCCGGTTAGTGTATTGAAACTTTCATCATATACAATTTAAATTTGACAATAAGGTATGGACAACTTCGTATATATTAAAAATCCAATAATTTATTGGACATCATACCTGAGAATCATCTATAGATATGAAATTAGGGTCGTAACTCGTAATTATTGTAAAACTATCAAACTGAACCAAAAGCAATTATGGAGCCCGTTTGGTAGCACAAAAATCGGTTGTTTTGGCTGATTCTGCTGAAATTATGAAGTTCTGGTTGAAGTGGCTGCATTGGCTGATTCTGCTGATACAAGAAAAAAATATTTTTAAAATATATTTTATTAATAAAATAAAGAAAAAATTATATGTAAAAATAGCTAAAATGATCATCTACGGTAACTTCAGCCAATACAGCCAGAAAAGTAACTTCAACCTTACTTTTTCGGCTTATTACACAATTCAACGCGCGAAAGCAAAATTTACGTGTTTGGTAAAAAAGTTGGCTGATAAGCCTGATAAGCCGAAAATGAGGGTTGCCAAACGGCCTCATGATGATTCGGCTTATTCTGCTGAAATTTATGAAGTTCTGGTCGAAGTGACTGCATTAGTTGATTCTGCTGATTTAAAAAACAATTATTTTCGAAATACATTTTATTAATAAAATAAAGATAAAATTATATGTAAAAATAGCTAAAATGGTCGTTTACGGTAACTTCGGTCAATACAACCAGAAAAGTAACACCAACTTTACTTTTTCTTATTATTACACAATTCAGCGCACGAAAACAAAAGTTACGTGTTTGGTGAAAAAGTTGGTTGATAAATCTGATAAGCTGAAAAACAGTGTTACTAAACGGCATCAAAATAGTTTTGACCTCACTTAATTGGTTACTTGATTAACTGTGAATTAAGGATGTTTGGGACTGATTCTGCTTCTGTTTCTTTTTTAAAGAAGAAGCAGAATCAGAATTAGTTTTCAAAAGCTGGTCACCCCCAGCTTCTAAAAAAACTGATTGTATGAGTAAATTAGAGCACCAGAATCACTTCTGCACTTTCACCCAAATACTGCAACTTATGATTCTGCTCCTTGAAGAAGGCAGAATCACTTTGAAGAATCAGATCCAAACACCCCTAATATAGCTAGACAAAAGACAACATATATGCTGCTACTACTATTTTATACCGAGTATGATCTTTTCAAAATCACTTTTGTTCTAATTAACTTCATTAATTGCATTATAAAAATCACAACAATATTTTTAATAGATTCAATTATAAATTAGAAGTTTACCTCTACAATTATTGATTGAAATATACTAGAAAAAGTAATGGATATAATTGAAAAACAAATAATACAATGTGAGAGTGATGTTTTTTACTCAGAAATAAGCAAAAAAATCTGAGCAGTGTGTTGTATTTGGAAAAACATGTGCACGGGTCACATGTGAAATGAGATAGATAAATACAGAAAAATAAATTATTTACATTCTCTCTCTTTGTTTCCACGATTTTATATAATTTTAATAATTTTTCACAACAATGTCAACCACGATGTCTACTTATAGACATCCGTATTAAAATTGTGGAGAATAACTTCACAAAAACACATTAGACATTTCAAATAAGGAGATCGAGAGACCGTACATATTATGTTCGTTCATTAATATTTATATGTATATCTCTCATATCACATGTGCATCGTGCACATTGTATCATTGGAAATGCTCTTAAAATGGTTATATATCAAATAATATTGTCAATAAAAATAATTCACAATGCTAGCGTGCGTCAATTTCTTTCTATCAATATTAATAATATTGGGTTATTGCCAATAACAATTTATCAGTGTATTTTGATATTTGTACTTTATCAGTGTCCCAATAACAACTTTTTCTAAATCCGTTAAAAACGTCTGATGAAGATGATGAATAGTAACTCTGATTTTTAAAAGAGCTCAGAAAATTAAAAGAAAAATATTGAATGGTGCGCCTCGTCAAGATGACCCCCAAACCACCTTCGTCTTTGGATTTTTCGGATCTATTTTTGCATTATTTTTTAAAAATGAATTCGTTACTATCACTTTTCTGGTGGACTTTCTGATGACAAGGGTGGCTGGAAACAAAAGAAAAAAAGAAAATTGACCCATAGCGGTGGTCATGTTGAGAAACATATTTCGATATTTTTCTTTTAATTTTTCGAGCACTTTTGAAAATCGGATTTATCGTTAATCGTCTTCCTCTGTCCCTTATAACTTTGCCAAATTTCCGTTTTTGTTATCCCAAAAACTTTGTCACTTTCCCTTTTAATCAATCAATTTGTGGTACATGTTATTTCTCTCTCATCTACACAAATTTGTACAATAACGTTTTTACTTTATTATTTTACGTGACGGTCAAACATGACGGGAAAGTATCTTTTGATAACTACGTATCCGATAAGTGTAAGGAAGCACATCACGGATGAGGTATTATGAAATATAGGTAGGATGAAAAGTAGGTGCTACGTGGAGGGACGTAAATGTGCCATACTGGTATGCTGTTGACCCCTCCTAACATGGTGCGGTGACAAGCGAAGATTCGTATCACTAGTGGGGCAGCTTATATCATTCAAATACCAATAGGACAGAGACATTAATATCGATAACTCTAGGGAATCCAAGGGAAATCATTCTTTTATAATTCTAATGTTTGAGACTTGAGAGTGTATAACTTTCACTAATGATACACTGGAACATCATTCTTTGTTGGTAGAAAAATTGCAAATTTAGATATTAAAAATTTAAGGTGTGAAGAATTTAAAATTAATTTTTTAATACATTCATAAATAAAATGTTATCAAGGTAGATCATGTGAAAATTGTAAAATTTAATAAATTACATCAATTTTTGAAAGAAGATTGTATACGGTTTTAAAGCTCCAGTTCATTTATCATATATGAATGGGCAGATATTACCCCAAATTAAAGAATAAAAGATGGTTAATTCACTCCAAATAGACAAGATTCATTTCAAACCGTTTTTATTATGGTAGAAAACTCGTACAAAATTATAAAACTCATATTGAGATCAAAGTAAGAGAGAATTCCCTAAATAGGAGTAAAAAAGTTTTGAAATTCCAAAATATGAGTATCATGTTTTTGATTCCCTAAATAGGAGTAAATTTTTGTAAACAACGCTTGCACAAATCCCTAAATTGAGTAATTTACACTATATGAGCCATTTATTAGAACATTTCACACCACAATTTAACCAATTATACTTCGTACTAAGCTAAATCATGACATTTCAGAATCCCAAATCTGTAAACAACGCTTACACAAATCCGTAAATTGAGTTTTTGTTCATTATATCACTTGTTAACTTAAATCTAGTTTTGATCCTATTATTTTTTGACTTATCGGCCAACTTTTTTATCAAAACACGTAACTTTTTATGGGCGCATTGAATTGTGTGATAAAAATAATAATGTTAGATTTACATTTCTGATTGTATTAGCTGAATTTATCGTAGAAAATCATTTTAGTTGTTTTCATATTTTTTATTTTATTAATAAAATATATTTTAAATATTAAGTTTTCATAAATCAACATAATCAACCAAACAGAACTTCATAAATTTCAACAGAATTATCAAACAGAATTATCAACAGAATTACCTAATACAACGGATTTGAGTATTATCAAACATGCTCTTAATTTTCTTTTGATATTTTACATAATATCTTAAGTTCTCATCAGAATTGAAATCAGTCTTTGTTTTTTAATAAATTAATGAGGGGTAATATAAATTTAAACATATCAATTTTAATTATTAACATTAATTTGAAATTGTTGTAGAAAAAATAACTACATGTTTGGTTTTGTTGTACTTATGTAACTCGCTATTTGAATTTTATGAAACTCTCATATATCTCTTAGAAAAACCACTCACACCCGCATTATTTTTTAATGTTTCCATGTTGGTAAGATCTGTAATGTTGTAATGTTTAAGAAACTTTGTGTTACCTAATGTTTAAGAAAAATGAATTTAAAAGTGAGTTTGTATGATTGGTATTAAATTGATAAAGTAAAAATAATTTAGAATCACACAAACTTTACCAAATTTTGTATGAAATAATCTTAGTAGAATTTCCAGAAAATATAAAATGAAACAATCTTAACTAAAAATAGCGACGTGTCATAAATTTATGTCGAGACCTAAAAGAAATTGATGATATAAATATCAACAGTAATTCGGGACTCCCCGGTTTAACTAGGACCTGAGCTACGGAATTTCTACGTAAATAAAGATCCAGAAAAATAAGTTTTCAAATCACTGACTAAAATTCATTGTCTTGTCGAATCCTACTTAGCCAAACAAGGAGGTACTTATGGCAGAACTGAGATGTTAATTGATCACAAGTATTCGTTCATTTTTACTTTTAATTCATAACTATATGGAGAATGCAATAGGTGATTCTTTTAATACCAAAACCTAGCCTATTGCGTCTTATAGCTGCTTAGGTACAATTCACAATTCTAAATTCAGCTGAAAACTAATACTCGTACAATGGATTTTTTATTTTTCTTATTACATGATTAAAAGGAAAAATATGAGTTTATGTCATAATCTTCCTGAAGGAAGACCAAATGTGATCTGACACGTAAAAATGCCCATCGTTATACACGAATTAAAAAGGTGTCAATTCACATAAAAAAATGAAAGTGCCTTGGGAGATTAGAACACAACATTTTTATCACTTTCTATTTTAGTAATATAGTTGTGATAATGGGCCGCAACCCGATCTCATTATAGATCCTGCCGTAAGCCCTGTACTACCAAACTCACCCTTCAAGGTAGGCCTACGTGTCGTGTATGTACGAGAACACATGTTAACCCTTCCTTGAACAGAGCAATTTAGACTTTGAATTAGGGAAAACAATAAGGTACATTTGGATCAGGTTAGTTTCTGTGCAGCTCTTCTCAAATCGACGACGACGACGCTGATGTTATCGGTACTCTGCCGCGCTAAGGCCAACTTGGTCAGTAGGACTGACGCATCTGAGCAAGCTTTGTCTGACATTTCCCCGGCGGCGGCCGCCGTCACTGCAAAGTCCCTCTCCTGCAACTTCCCCGGCGACCGGGACTTTCCTTGCCGCAAGCACATGCGGGCCACGCCACAGGCTGTCTCGTTCGACACGACATCCCACAGCCCGTCGCTTGCTATGATCAAACATTCGTCCTCCGGCGTCCTCCCCGTGATGGTTACCTCCGGCTCCGGTATCACATACGGTTTCAGATAATTGTCGCCTGAAGATTGAAATGAATGATATTAGCTAGAATTCGCTGGAAAAAATAAGGTAGTTTTGGATTTAGCATACCAATAGCCCTAGACATTGCTAAGACTCCGAGAACACGCGGTCCATCCCAATAGATGACGCGGCCGCCGGCTTCTTCTATCCTCTTCAACTCATCTGGTAGATCCGGCTGAAACGAATTCATTGCAAAATTATTCAATTGAAGTTCTAATTATTGGAATATGAACTTAATTCGTACTCTGCAATTCTGTATATACCTTATGATCAACGGAGAGTGGAATGGCCGCTCCACTCCGGCATAGAACGGCGCGAGAATCGCCACAATTGGACACAACGATATTTTCCGGCGTCACTACGGCAACAACTGCGGTGGATCCGACTGCATCGCATTGAGGAGTTTGCATATTGCAACGGCAACCGGAGCGTTCGACCCCAGAGTTCGCTGTAGTACACCAGTCGGTTATTTCCTGGTCCATTTTACGGAAACCCCGGCGCATCACCTCCTCCCATGCATTTTCACCTTGCAGAAACTCTTCCTGGAGGATTTCGTGCATTCTATCCCCACATTTCATCGCCACCTATGGAAGCTTAAAAGAGGAATTAGGAAAAATACAATCATAAATTCATGCGGAATATAAATGCAGCACAGTCGACTTACAAGGACTGTTAATTGATTAAAACTTACATGGGAGCAACCGTGGCCGTCGTACACACCGAAAAAGTGAAATCTCTTCGAGTTTTCGTCATTTCGCTGGAGGAAGTAGGGGTGAACGGCCACTCTATCTTCCATATCCCTTCTCCTTCCGCAAATAGAAGTCATACCGAACTTCGGGCAATCCGGTTCCACTCCGGTGCACGTCGCCGATTCATGCCAGTTCGGATCCTTCATCGGATCGTTGCTGCTAATGATTGCCTTAATTTTCTCAACCGATTTTTCATCCTCGCGAAGCTTAGAAATCTGAGAAATTTCGTTTACTTCCAAACTCCTCCGCTTCTTACATTTCTCATTCACGACACAGCTCTCCGATGCGCTCTCGCTCTCCAACGGCGGCGGAGAATCCGGAAAACCCTTATCAGACCTGTGGCGCTTCCTGTCGGTCTCCAGAGGCGGAGCCACGGCGACATCCGGCGCCACGAAACGGAACTGATGAATCTCCATTCGGCGTCTTCTAGGGCCGACGGAGCTGGGAGTAACCGGAGATTTAGTCTCTGTTTCACCACCACACATGGCAGCCATAAGGAAATTTTCAACCTTGTTCTTAAATTCCGCAATCCAAACGAGGAATAATAGATGAAAGAATTTTCAAAAGGAAGGTAGACAAGAGAGGCTCATAAATGGGGGAAGCAAAGGAGAGATAGCATAACACCTGGCGGTAGGGCAGGCGGGCAGAGGGGTGATATCACGGGCAGGTGACCGGCACCGGCCCTGGCAGATTGAGTGGAGATCTGACCGTCGAAATATCTTTCGTGATCCTTTTGGGTACGAAAATGGGATGGACACGTGGAAAGGAAACGGAAAGAGAAAGAGAGAGATGGGAACCAATGAGAGGTAAGCACGCAGGGGTGATTAGTTTTCTCCACGTTGAGGAATAATGAATGGGGCGTGAGATGGAGCGCGCGAAATGGGAGGCGGTGGGGCCGTGTGTCTGAAAGTCTGGTCACCTCCTCCATTCGACAAGTGTCACCGAGTGACGTGGACATGAAGCTTAAAATCTCACGAGGACTTCTTTTGCAAAAAAATTCCACCTTAATGACGTTTGCTAATTCCGTAATTTACTCAAACAATGACGTTAGCAAATGAAAAGAGAAAGAGTGATTTCTATTCCGGGTTAGGAACCCGAAAATCTTTAGAACCAAACCGTTAAAATTATTCAGCATGAGTTATAAATCGTTAATAGTTTGATTCTTATTCTTTAGGGAAATAGAAACTAATAATTCAAATTTTTAGTGGTCTTCTTACAATAGTCTCACCTTTTGATTATTCAGGAATAATCTCTGACAGGTCATCAACCGGTCAGAGATCATTGAATGAAGATGAGGTGCAAAAGTTGGATTATTCCTGAATAATCAAAAGATGAGACTATTGTAAGAAAACCGCTAAAAGGTTGGATTATTAATTTCCATTTACACTGTTCTTTATTAACCAGTTCGATTCCTGGTTCCTACAAGATATATATATCTACGGAACCATTAAAAACGTTATTAAAAATATAAAATTGAAAGTATAACTTGTAATAATAATTATTATTATTATATTAAGTTAAGAACAAGAATAATTATAGTAACAATAATTATAATAATATAACCGGTTACAATTAATCACACAATAATTTAAATTTAATTGATGCAAGCAGATGAGGATGAATACATTAACCTCGTTTTTTACAAATCATATTTTGTTCCATTACAGAAATATCATAATTATAAAATTAAACCAAATTAATTCGTGTTGGTTCGATGTATTTATTATTTATAATTTTCAAGATGATTGTATTGTGAGATTGTGTAAATAAAGCTCCTAGGATTCCGAATGTAATGATTTTTATATTTGTACTTACATATTCAATATATTTTTTTTACGTTTTGAGGAACTTGAACTAGACGTCTTATTCTACAATGATGATCCAACTTTTATTGATATCAAACAACAACGATTTTCATATTTTATTTACAAATAGAATTCAAAATTTATTTCATATGGTGTACTATTAAACGTGTTGAATAAATAAGCTTGGACTTGATATTTGAAATGATAAGAGCTACAACAAGTACTTATTGCTTGTGTTTTGAATTTTCGACGTTTTTGTGTTGTAGAAAGTAAATTGTGTTATTTTTTTATGCAAACTTATTTAACTTATGCTTAGGACCCGATAAAAGAAAGAACCGAACTGTTTACTATTGGTTCGGTTTCATAACGGTTCTTGAAATTTTAGATAGGAACCGAACAGATATTTAATTAGTTAAGTTTTTTGTAACGGTTTCGCTAATTTTATCTAAGAATCAAAGCGGTTTCAGACCTAATTTATTTGTATTACATTTTTTAGCTCGTTTGATGATTTGCTTTTTCACTACCAAACAATTACGGGATTGACACGGATTTGACACAGATTGACTGATGATTTCGTGACAAATAGCTCGTGCCAAAATCTCTGCCAAAAATCTCAGTCAATCCCATGTTTTTGTAGTATTCGGTTTATCATCCTTATCAATCAACTTTTTCACTAAATATGTGATTTTTTATATCATGCACTTAATTGTGTAATAATTAAAATACGCAAGGTTGAAATTAATTTGTTGGATGTATTGATTGAAGTCACCATAAGAACAATTATAGCTATTTTTTCATATGATTTTTTAATAAAATATATTTTAAGTATTTCTTTACAATTAAACAGAATCAGTCAATCTAGTCACTTCAGTTATAATTTCATAAATGTCAAAAAAATCAACCAATTTCAGTGTTATCAAACGAATTAACCGAACAATGACTATCTAGATCACACATAACTTGTACATGTATGTAGGAATTTATTTGTAAAAAGTGCAAACACATAAACAACGTTGCAGTGCACATCACCGCTTCACATGCTTGCGGACAATTATGAATCTAATGAAAAAGTTACACGTGTGATTGGTTTGCACGCATACAATAACCGGTGGGCGTAGCTCAATTGGTAGCGAGGAAGTGCCACAACGATTAGATCTCAGATTCGAATCCCGGCAACTACGATGAGAGTTTACTATCCTAAAAAGCATATGACCTCATGGATGCGGTGTCGCATACAATAACAATAATCTGTCTGAGAAAAGCGTATGAAAATCTATAATTTATACACACATACAACTATTTTGAATCTACGAGCATTGATTTGCAAGACAAATGAATTGATTTGTGCGCCTATTTGATACAAATTAAAAGCTAATGTATAGACACTTATTTATATGAGAGTATAATTAGCATGTATGGAGTAATTGTTTGGAATAACGGAATGTACGTAAGATACTCCTTATTAGAGCCTGTTTGGTAACACTAAAATTGGCTGATTCTGTTGAAATTTATGAAGTTCTGGCTGAAGTGGCTGTATTGGCTGATTCTGCTGATTCATGAAAAAATTATATTTAAAATATTTGTTATTAATAAATAACCATCGTCGATTGTGGCCTTGCACCGCAGCGCCTTCTGCCGTAGCCCTGCATTCATAGAAGAAGAGAACAGAGAACCATCAATTTGAGGAGGAGAAGGAGGAGGAGAAACGGGAATCAAATGACAAAGAGGACTAAAAACCGACATTTTGTGGTCAACTATGGGTGTCAAAACGGAGCAAAAAGGTCAACTTACGCTACCAAGGGGTAACCGGCGCCGATCTGCCTTTAGAACGGGCGCCGTTTGCATTTTATTCTACCAATTCCGAGGAGGAGGAGGAGGAGGAGGAGGAGAAACGGGAATCAAATGACAAAGAGGACTAAAAACCGACATTTTGTGGTCAACTATGGGTGTCAAAACGGAGCAAAAAGGTCAACTTACGCTACCAAGGGGTAACCGGCGCCGATCTGCCTTTAGAACGGGCGCCGTTTGCAGTTTATTCTACCAATTCCGAGTTCAACGAGAGCAAACTGGTGTCGTTCCACCCTTATAACTGGCGCTGGTTACATTGTTTTTACTAATTCTCCCAGCGCCAAAGAAGAACCGGCGCCAGTCAGGCCTGCAACCGACGACGGTCAGGTCCGGTTCTGCACAAAACAAGGAGATGTGAAACCATATTTTGATGGGAAAACTCCATTTCCTTATGATCTGAACAAAATTTCTTCCATGCCTAATTGTTGGGCTCAAATATTCTAAAAGATGTCATTCTTTAGCCTATATAATGCCCTCAATTCATCAAACAAGATCATCAATCCATCTTTAGAGCTTAAATTTCAGCGTTTATATTTTATTTTTGCATTCTCTTGAAGTGTTGGAGAGGAGGCCATTTCTCCCCTCTGCAATTGGTTCTAGGTAATATTTCTTGTATGTTATTGTATTTTCTTTATCTTAGTTACACGTTTGTAATTAGTATGAGCTCAAGAAGCTAAATTCTTAGCTAAAGCTAGTGATTGACTTCTATGCCCACTAGGTCTTTGATAAAAGTTCTAAACCAATAAAATGTGATTTATCCTTTATACTTTGATTGTTTATGACTATGGTGTAAAACATAGTCGTATGTTAAATTTAGTTTACACTTGCAATTAACGTTGAGTCTAAACTATGAACGTTAAAGGATAAACATATATAGAACCGAGAATAGAAATATATCTGGTCTCATATGATACGGGTGTGATGTCTTGATATTCAACGGGATTTTCGGTAGATGAATGTAAGCCGTAACGGGACTTACACGTAACCAAACCACGCTTCGGCTGCCTTAACCGAAGTTAGGAATATATTAGCGACATCGTATTCATAATTATTGGGAAAGAATTAATATCTAACCCTATTGAAGCATTTGAGTGGTTCTTGAAGCCTTAGTTGTTGCTATCAATCATCTTAAATTCGAATTAATTGAAGCTATCTTCCTGAATTAAAAGTGAAAAGCTGAGTTAAAACAAAACACAATCAAAATCTCTGCACCTTACTCATTTCTTTATTTAAAGTTATCTACTCTGGAACTTAAATTAAACAACGTTTCCCTACATATTCGACTCGGTATTTTACCGGAATTTATTACTATACCGGCACTTGTACACTTAGAAGTTTAGCCTGATCACTTTTCTTTTTGGATTATCCCAAAAGTGTCTCATTTCCTTTTTTTGAAAAAAAAAATATGTGGCCTACATCATTTCATTTATTATACACAAATCGCAACCACAACTTTTACTTTTTCAACCACTTTATTAAGAGTTGTGCCAAGTCAAAGTGAGACGCATAAAATAGGACATAGGTAGTACATTATTTTCTGATGCGTACTTGATTTACTTTACTTATGATTGTTTATGGATGATATATGTGTGAATGATATTCACGACGCCTTGTATGATTCGGGTAAGCTTGATCGAGATTCGAGGCTGACTTACTCAGCTTGTATGTCGGTTGTAAGTGCATTCGGGGAGGTCCGAGACGTGACTGTAAATATCAACACTCGCTCTTCTTTGATCAAATCTCATTTCAAGTTAAATTGTGTTTCCAATTGACAATACAAAGAACAATTATATTTGATGGGGGAGATGATGATGTTGAAGATCATTAGTTAAAGAAGTAATTGTTATTTAAGAATTAAGAACCACTTGTTGTAATGGTGCAAATTTAGCTTAATCTTTACCCTTTTTAAAAGGAAAAACTGCTAATATTAATATCATTACGATTCGGATCATTACAACAAACTCAGAGACCAACACAGACAACTATCTGTAACCAACTAGCACTGCCAACCTTATGGCAAGACTTAGAAACGATCACCCTGAAAGAGCAATACGAATCGTTAACCACCAAACGCGTGTGATACATCAATCAATGGACATATAGATCCTTCTAACGACATAACAACCAACAGAAATTGTCAATCATTATTGTAGACCTACAATTAAAAACATCACATGGAAGAAGAGCATTGTAAAAAAACATACGCGAAAATAAGACCATAAAAATAAAATAACTGATAAATACTCCAAACTCCGTCCTGCCAGTTTTCTTAAAATTTCATCTTCCAAACCTAGCACCTCAATTGCTCCTAGGCGGCGGTTCAGGAGGGGACCGAGCCGCCGGTCTGTCTTCTCCTCTGTTCAGCCTTCACCGCTCCCCGTCTGCTCGTCGCCCATGTCGCCTCCTAATATGGTCACTATGTACCTGTCACAATCAATTTTTCTGATGTAATGATTACTACTAGGAAAAGTTCCCACCTGATGTACTGGAATCCATGGCCTCTACCAAGAACACCACATCC